CTTGGCACAGGTGCCAAAGCATGGCATGCAAAGGCATGTTGCTTGGCATGTGTGCTTCGGAGTGCATGACGGGGAAGGAGCTAGGGCGGCACTGCCACAACAAGGATCAGGCCCTTCACGGCTCCCCTGCTGTCTGCCCCTGGCACGCCAACATCTTACAAGTTGAGGTTGTGGGTGGTTTTGGCACTCTGCCAACCGCTAAACTACGCTGCCAACCCCTGAACTATGCTAATTCATTTCTCAAACAGAATGTAATTAACATTGTGTGGTGCTTCTGAATACCTTTTTTAATACTGCTTGAATAAGCTAAAGTGTACATTCAGTATGTTGCAAAAAATTGTTATTGGGTTTAGATATTGATTGTTGCATACACCCACATTACAGGAACAAAGAAAATTCATCACCACTAGACTCCAGTCAAACACAAGGTAAAAATAAAACCAAAAAGAGGAAGATAGCTGAAACCTCCAATGTTATCACAGAAACGTTGCCATCGGCAGAATCGGAGCCTGTTGAAATTGAGGTGGAGATTGCTGAAGGGACAATTGAAGTAGAAGATGACAGCATTGAAACACTTGAGGAAGTGGCATCTGCAGAGCAGTCTATAAAATATATACAGACTACGGATACGTCAGACGAGTCTGCTTTGGCTCTTCTGGCAGATATCACCAGCAAGTATCGCCAAGGGGGGAGAGAATGCCACGTCCAAGAAGAAAGTGACAGTGCAACTGATCCCACATGCAAACAGGTAGAAGGTATTGAAATTGTGGAACTTCAGCTGTCTCACGTGAACAATTTATTCCACTGTGAGAAATGTAACCGTTCATTTAAATTGTTTTACCATTTTAAGGAACACATGAAAACTCACTCTACTGAGAGTTACAAGTGTGACATATGCAATAAAAGGTACCTACGAGAGAGTGCATTGAAACAGCACCTCACCTGTTACCACCTTGATGAAGGTGGTGCCAGCAAGAAGCCAAAACCTGGCAAAAAAATACATGTATGCCAGTACTGTGATAAACAGTTTGACCACTTTGGACACTTTAAAGAACACCTGCGGAAACACACAGGTAAAGACATTTCTGTATTTCAGGCATGTTCCTATTCCTTTGGTTTTGATTTGATTTTTCTTTTGTGGGGTGAGCAGTAGAGGGGGGAGTGTATGCCTGAAAAATGCTTCCTGTTATTACAAACTCTAAATCTGATTTTTACCTAATAGTGAATGCAAATCTTAATGAATAACATTTATTCATGGAAGTCTCCAATATCATTAGACATTTGCCAAAAAACAAGTCTCCTGAAGAAATAGCTGTTCAGTATATCTTGTTCAAAAAAAGTGTAAGAGAAGAGAAAAAGCCCATCTGGGGGAAGATAGCCAGTTGAGAATTAAACTTGTGAAAACAGAATTAAATTCCACTTCCTTAAAAAAAGCTTCCAATAGAAAATTGATCTAAAATAGACTAATTAAGTGTAATTTGTATCAATATAGTTCATAAACAAGTGGAAAATCCTGAGATAAATGCCCTTGTTTAGAATAGCATTTGTGCAGCATGGTTACCTACTTACCAATTTTCTATGGGATCTTTGTGTCTAAAATTCACCTTTTTGCTCTTGATTCTTGGAATATGATTATTTTAGGGCTGTCAGTCACAATTAACACATCAATCATTGTTTCCATTAACTTTTTTTAACACGTTAATCATGCACGTGGTTTTGGAGCCTGCACCTGGGCTCTGCTCCACCGTTGTTGTTGCTGCCTCCAGGCCGCCCATGGGGCAGTGGTGGCAGCGCAGCGGACCGCAGAACATCCCAGGTATGGGCTCCAGGCAGCTGCAGCAGGGTAGGAGGGCATACACAGGCATGCAGCTGCAGCCTGGTGGCATGTGGAACAGCGCCCAGCCCGGGTGCCATGCACTGGCTGTGCCACATCCCCTGCCCGTCCAGTGGCAGGAGGCACAGCCTGTTGTTGCACGCTTCCTAGGGCAACGGCAGCAGGGCACAGAGCCCAGCACACAGCGGCAGCCTACCTCCACCCCACACACACAGCTGAGGGGCATGTGCCCCCCATGCCTCTCCTGGGGTTGCGTGCACCAGCGGGAGCCCCTCCCCCCCTGCACCCCTGGATGAGCTGCAGTGGTGTCCCACAACCCTCCCAGGCCCCGGGGTCCCATTCACCCCTGCTTCTGCCCCACTCCATCCCCCACTGTGAGGGGCCTCAGTCTGCCCCCCACACCCATTTTCTCCCCAGCACCACCTGGGGTGACAAGGAACAATGGTAATAAGCTGATGGAGAATAGGTTTAGGTTAGAGATCAGAAGGCAATATTTTACAGTTAGGGTGGCCAGAATCTGGAACCAACTTCCTAGGGAAGTAGTCTGCACCCCTACCTTGGGTAAATTCAAAAATAAGTTGGACTCTCACCTGTCTGGGGTCTTGTGAACCCAGCATTCATTCCTGCCTGTGGCAGGGGGTCAGGCTAGATGATCTATTTAGGTCCCTCCTGACCCTAGCTACTATGAAACTCTTCCCCCCCCACACTTACCTGCTGAGTGGTGTGTGTGTGTGTGTGTCTACCCCTCACTCCTGACTCTCAGTACCACACGTCCTGCCAGGGTATGCAGAACACCCCGTCCCCGGGCACCAAACCCCACACACGCACCTTCACAAATTCCACCCCCCCCTTCCACACACACACACACACCCCCAAGCATAAAAAGTACCTGCATAATTTGGCATAACTTTGAGTTTTCCTGTGCATAACTGAGTTTTTAGCCATGTGATTAAAATTGTGGTTAATTGTGACTATTTTTTTTTAATCACACAACTAATCATGATCAAATTTTTTAATCGGTTCACAGCACTAGATTTTTTTATTTTATTTTTTAAATTACACCACTGTTTTTTCCTATTTCTGCTGAGATCCTTGTGAATCTCTACCATATTACTTGTGATCTCACTATAAAAAGTTTCTTATTTGTGGTGTTGGACATTACATAATTTCTTAATCTTGTGACTGTGTCATTTAGATGGGCCTTGCTCCTCCAAACGCACATCATATATACTGTCCCCTGCAAGCTTCCTCCACACTTCCTCTGCTGCCTGCCCAAGTGAGTAGGGGTATTGTAGGATTTGGGCAGGCCCATGTAAAAGCGGGAATGTGATCCATTGTGACTAGGGACCTACCAAATTTGCAGTTTTGTGAATTCTGAGAAATCCAGCATTGCCCGTGAAATCTGCAAGGGAAAAAAACAAAACAAAACTTACAGAATAGAAAACGCTAGCTTCTCAGGGAGCTGCCCTCTCGAAGGGCTGTGGGCAAGATCGCTGCTGCTCTGCCCCCTCCACGCCTCTCGCCTCTGGCTGTGAGGGCTGCCTGTCATGTGGCCCCACCCCTCTCCACCAATCGGGAGGGGGGGCTGCATGATGGACAGCCCTCGCAGCCAGTCAGCAGCAAGGAGTGGGGGGGGGGCAGCCATCTTGCCCACAGCCAATCAGTGGAGCGGGGAGAGGGGCTGTCACGCTTTGCCCACAAAATGGCTCCCCAGGCTCACATTCTGCCCACAAAATTGGGGGCCCGCCCCTGCAAATTAGGTAGGTCCCTAATTATGACTAGGGTGACCATAAGGAAATCCATGACATCCAAGACGCTTTCCCTGCCTCCCCCTGCAAGTCAGCGGCACTGCTGCAGGCACAGGCTGGCAGCCAGGGGCGCAGGCGCAGTCTATCGGGGAGGCGGGGCTGCCTGGCACACCATGCCACTTTACCTCCCCTCTGGGCTGTACCTCGGGCCCCTGCAATGCCAGGATGCTCGTTTTAGTTTTCACCAACCGGCCAAGGCCACCCTTCAAAATCTGGGACTGTCCCAGCCAAGCCAGGATGTACAGTCACACTAATTATGACCAAGCTATGTTTAACCACCCTTACAGAAAATGTTCACGATGACTTTAAGGAAAATATCTTATATTGGATTGGCAAAGTAACAGATTACACCAGAGCTGGTGTTTATTTGGCAGCGGGCTATTTTAGGGCAAAACAAAACAAGTTTGTGTCACTATGTTGAAGGCATTCTACACGTTCTTATTTTCCATATCCTGTTTGAATTCCTTGTCAGTCTATAAATATTACAGCAAAAACAAAATTGGGCTTTCAAAGAGGCAAACAAAGTAAATAATTAAAATGTAGCTTAAAGCTTTAAGTTTAAGTTAAATTTGCTGGTAGGTCTGATATCACTGGGAGACTTTCAATGACCCTCAGTAGGCCCTTAGGACCACACTTAATATTTGGCAAACTCTGTAGCAAATAGTATAAAAATTGAATTGCAAAATGAAAGTCTGGCACGTTGAGCATTAATAGTATTGTGAATTAGCAATGCCAAGCTAATAGCATGTTTGATATAGTGACAGATTGATTTCGGTCTCTGCCAAGGAAAATTAACAAAATTCTCACTAATATCAGTAAGTACATCCTGCATGCAACTTGGTAATGAAAAAGCTTTTCCTGACTATGTAGAAAGTAAATTAAAAAGAGAACCACCCAGCTCTCTTCTTTGTGAGCCTCTTGAATGTGCTGTATACAACTAAACTACACTCTCTTTGAATTCATAGATCAATCCCAAAAGAACTAATTTGCAAAATAGTTATGACAATGTCAGCCAAGCAAGATACATTCTCTTTATCGCATTACTTCACATTAGAGGGAAAATAACAATATTTTGATTGCACGTCGCAAGTTAGTTTCAGTAGGATACAATTTTGAAATTGTATATATGAACTATATATAGTGCAGTTAGTGATTTGATCAGTCTCAAAGTATCATATTTACTTGATTATAAGATGCGTTATTTTTCCCTAATCAGCATGGGGTAAAAAAAGATCCCCATCTTACATTTCAATGCAAGGAAATCTCATTAAATACTTTATCTGTCATTAAACTGTTGCCCAAAGCAGCATGTGCTCAGTAATGGAAACTGGCTATGAAGTTGATTAAGTACAGCCAACACAGCATGACTATCAAATGCATGGCCCATATGGGCAAACATACTGATGGGAGCCTACCACTTTTTTGTTTCAAGGGCCAAATCAGTTCCAAATTCTGTTGAGCAAAACCAAATAGTCAAGTTCTAAGACTTCGACTGAGCAGAGCTCAGTCATTCAAGTCTGTGTGGCTCTACCACTAGCCAAGTATCCTCCTTCCCAGACTTATTAGTCTGGGGCTTCAGGTACTCCCCAAATCTGTGGCAGATATCCTACATGCAAGCCCAGGGACCCTGGGGCTCAGATGCCCCGAATCTCACTTGCTCTTAGCCAAAAGGCCAGGGAGCAAGCTAGAGGAAAAGCAAGAAAGCAGTCCCCAATTACCACAAAATTGTGCGGTTGAGTCTCCTCTGTTTGGGGAAACTCACAGGGGTCAGCATGCCCATAGTGCAAGAGACAGGCCTCACCCTAGCAAAACCATCCAAGTGATCATGGTATTTCCACTGCCAGGTTAATTTGCTTTTGTTTGGGGGGGGGGTTTAATTTTGTGTGTCAGGCCAAATTAGCCAAATCGGTTCCAAATTCTGTCAACTAAGCACAGCTCAATTGTTCAAGTCTGTGTGATGCTCCCACAGTGCATTGGACAAATCTCTACCCTTAACTACACGGTGCCATTCAAGGTGATCTTGGCCCAGAAGAGGCTGCTATTTATATGCAAACCCGCTTGATCAGAGCCAAAAGGATTTATGGTATCTTTGAATAAGGCATGGTAGTGCCCATTAAGTGCAGTCCCCTTCATAATTAATTCCTTTGTAAGTCCTAATGAGCCACTACGTTGACTACATTTTGTCTTCCTCTTTACTCCCACAGATGAGCTGTGCCTTTCTTTCCCACTACCAATGATTTCTGTTTCTTCACCAGCCTTAAAAGTCTGGCAAACATCATCAAATGGGGCCCTAAACATTTCACTCAGAATCCCTCTGTTGCCCCCTCTTGCAGCCTATGTTGTATATGATTAGTGTGGCCCCACCCTTCATGAGGTAGAGTTGGACTAGGTTGCCCTGTGCCTCATCTGCATATACATTTTTGGAGCATCC